GCTATTTTTATTGATATGTATGTTTATTATTGTTGTATGTATGGATGTGTTTTTTTTTTGTTCATATGTGATTGTGGGTTTGGGTTTGGTATATGTATGTCTATATATATATATATTATCTTACGGTTCCGTATCCTCGAGCGTTCGTTTTATACGTTGTATCTGAACAGTTATTTGTTGTGTTTTTTTGGGAACCTTTATCATTCCTTCGTTATTTATGGTATAGTTTTGGAAGTATTGCAGCATTGCTGTTTTGATATGGCTTCGACTGTGCGTGAACCCTGAAAATTTGAGAAAGCATTTAAAATTTGAGAATTAGAGCGAACCCCATCCTGCATCAAGGGTATATGAATGCAGGTCGCGATTTTGTCCATTGTCCTTGTCTAATCAAACTCGTTGCTGTACTCTACACCGTTCTTGCTCGAAAACCAGCCCTCCAGGATGACGCATGGGAACAATCTGGATCTTGTCAAAACGTTGAAGAAACAGGAAAGGAGGGAACGGCTCCAATCTCTACAAAGACAAAAGACTGTAGACGGAAAAGGACGTCTACAAAGGGACATAGCAGAAGGCAGACTTCTCCTGACCGAAAGGAAGGCGGCCAAGCGCAAACCTATCCGTATCAAACAACCGAGATCAATACACAACTTACTCACAATAAAACATCAGACATTCCGGGGAATCTGCCTGCTTCATCGCAGCCAAACACTCACACACATCAGCGTAGTCTAGATTCTCCACTCTCAGATCTCAAATCGAGTCTCGAGCGTGAACAGGAGATGCAGAAAACTAAAACAGAGCAGGCGAACGAAATTCAGCAGTGGCTATCTAAGGACACCGTTGGTGAAGCCGTAGGAGCTAATTCGGAACTGGATGTGCACATGAATTCGCATATACATACCCTACCTCGCATGCTCGCACCCACTAGCACAGGATTTGGTGTTGAGCTGGACGACAGGCTACAGGCTATACGGGCACACACGCACACATATCTAGAGCGGGAAGCACCACACACCTATCAGGAAAGAGATGAATCAGATTTGAATCTAGGAACGGATGAAGCACACACAAACATAGAAAATATCAATACACCCACAGATGTAACAAGCAATGGAATCTACACTGGTGCCACGCCTAAAACACTTGATGAGCATTTGAAAATGAATATGCACACTAAAAGCAACCCGAATACAACACCGCAACTGCACAATCGCAGGGAACCGGGACCAGGATGCCAGCCCAATCTTAATTTGGAACGTAAACAATCAAATAAAAAAACAGGACAGAACCAGCCCACATTAGGGACGGGCCAGGTGCCACCCAATGCTTCGTTTGAACCCTTAGAGGCGAGGGGCCGTAGCCAATTTGCAGATATTTTTGAGTGGAATGCGGAGCTGCCCGAGGTAGAGGGCGAAAACAGTCCTGAGAAGCTGCTTTCTATAATTTTAGGTATGCTTTGATCGCACGAATGCCTACGTATGTACATACATGCTTGTGGTATGATGTCTGTGTTTGGATACCTTACGTTGTTGTTGGCCGTATGGGGGAGGAAACTTGGTTTCGTATATGTGCTAAAGTACAATATTGGTGTGTGCGTGTATGCCTATGCATGCCTTGTTCTAAATAAGCTGCGTCCTGTTATCGTATATATTTGTGCCAAACAGAATCAGACTGTGCATACCTTGGATAACAAAACGCTGGTATTCTCATATTATAGGTCCGATTGAGATGGAAAAATTGGTTTGGCGCGGCTGTCTAATGTTTCAGGACGGCCTACTTTACTGCGTTACGATATTGCCAATCCGTTTCTGCTTCAGTCTTGTTTCAGGATTGTTTGCTATTCTCACAAGCAATCCGGTCAGCCCCCGACACATACATGACACTGTTCAGGTTTGTGAATCTGAACATAGTGAAACTATCGGGAATTTATATGACAGACGTTGTGGTTGGTATACGCACATTTCTATTCACGTGGATATATGGGTGTAATACAATCCATTCGTATATTCTAACATATCCTTGCAACTTTCTGTAACTATCTTTCTTTTTAAAATTGTGTTTCCTCGGTCAACTTATCAAATGTGTGTGAGAGCAACCCCAACCCCAAACCTTTGACAGTCATTCTGCTGATCTCAATCTGGTCACGCTGCCAGAATATGCATTCATATTATACCATATGTCGTAATTTACACTGTCCGATCATTCCGACTCGGCACAATATAGAGCCGCTGCGTCACACATGATTATACTTGAAGCCCTTTACCTTACATACCAGTCTGCACCCGTTGTTTGGCATCCGTTATGTTTTACTCATAATTGGTCATTATTGCGTTGCAAACCCCAACAGAACTACTTTATATTGAATATGGACTAGCAGTTTTTATGCGTTTCTTGTTTCTTGCACATGTCTGCCTGTTTTGGTCGACGGCGTGGCACATGTGAACTATCTGCAGCCGTATTTGAGCACTCATTAACCTGCACTCGCCAACGTATCTGTTTTTTTACACTATATCTCGTTCCCATCTGTTTTCACAGAACTATCACTACTCATTACCTCGCACTTGATTTGGTCAGGGGATTATCATCATTGTGTCAGTACACCTCATTGATTTTCTGGACATTGACGAGGCGTACCACGTGGTCTTGCATCTCTCGTGGACACGCACGTGGGTGCTGTATAATCTGTTTGACGTCTGTGATGTCATCTTAACAGCGATTGGTCGGCGCGTTATGGGCTCGCTCATGTGGAGTATACGCAATAAATCCTGGTACATTCCGGTATGTTCTAGTGGGAGAGTGAATCGGCGAGACATGTCACGTGCCGCTTGGACTTACAATGACGTAAGCACACATGTGGGCGCTGTATGATTCATTTGGTGTCTGTGTCGTTTGTCTGCACCTGACAGTTTCATAGGTTTTAGCTTTACGTGACGCAAAGTAAGTCCGGCACGACACCAAGTGCTGCATTGCTGAACGTAGAGGCCAACTGACATCTCCATGTTGAAAGCAACAAGCAACTTGCAGATTTGGAAGTAGTACAGGCCCTTGGGCAACTATATTGACACAAACGGTCGCTTACTCGTTGCAGTTGATGACAGCTATAGCGTGCCTGTACGTGACGTTGCACAGTTTCGCCATGACGCTGAAGCTCGCCACCCTCCACGTAGCCATAGACAGAGGCCAGCTGCTATTTGCACTACTGCTGGCGATCAAAATGCCAGAGTTCAAAGGCGGCAACTTTACGGGCATGACCAAGGAAGATCTGCTTAACACGTGCCTTAATGATATGGTCGACAGGTAGGTTTGTACATATTGTGGCCTGAGCAATATTGAGGTATGTTATGTGTAAGTTTGCTTGGTTGTGTTCCGTGTTGTTTGCTGTAGAGGAAAATAGAAGGCGGTACAGTATGGGAATACGACGTGCTTGGATAAGTTGATGCAGAGATTAAATGGACTATCGTAATGTGTTGTAATGTGGTTCGTAATATACGATGATCAACCTGGGGGGTTGAGGCTACTATTTCTTCACCGGTTTCACCATCGAGACCCTGCCCGACAAGTGTACTCATTTTTTGTTAGCAATACAAATAGATACAATTCATAGTATATCGGTGAATACTATGTTTTTGTATCCTGTATGCGCAAGTTTGTGGCCATTTTTATTTGGTTTTTCTCCTAGAGTATCGGTCCGCATTTACAGCCTAGAGGCGTTCGTTACTAGACAAGAATCCGTTCCTCGTAAAGAAGCATGGACACATAATTCTCGCCGTTGGATTTCAAGCACACGTCCTTGCAGTGGCATAGCTGACAGGCGTCTGTTTGTGACCCTACACTTTCTTCCACTGCACTAGTGGTGCTTCGCTTTGATTGTTTATACACCTCCGTAAGTGAACACTGTGTTTGCAGGAGTAAGGCGATGGTCTTCTCGCTATTGATCTTCATGCACAAAGCGTTGCGGTGGCGTACGCACCAGCCGTCTGAGTGGGTGCCGGCCATTGCATCGGCCACTCTAATGGTGTTGGGAGTCGAAGTGCTCGTTGATGTGATCAAGGTCAGTGCAAGCTACCCACAGATTCCAATTATAGGTTCTAAAGTTGTTCACGTCTGGATCTCGGGATCGTTTTCCTCGCTTCGCTGAAACACGTTGTCCTAGACAATCACCGTTGAATTTGGGCGACATAAATCTTTGGCTTGGAAAATTGGAGCGGGCCCTTCGCTACGAAACATATAGCCACTACTGTCAATTTTTTTTATCAACTTATGCTCGAAATCGTTCTCAATATCCACAGGCGCCTATGCTTGGCTTATAAGATACGTGTGTATATCTAGTACCTGTTATAAATGTACATTATAGTACGGCACCATAGCTCATAGACAATCACACTAAGCTCAACATCAGTACCATCCCATTCGATATCCAAATTTCATTATTGCACTTCCAGAGTCGTACAACTTGCCTTTGATCATGGGATTGCCTGCACTAGTACTCTGAATTCATCCGTCATCTAATTTTTATATATATAATGACACTTCAAACGACAGCACGTCGCGATTTTGACGTTCAACCTGGGTGTACTCAGCCATTCAGAATACTATAAACTCAGTTTAGATCTGGCCAAGGACTTGCTACAATGGTATGTATATTGTCTGAAGTATCAATATCGCTCTGCACATCGGAGAAAGCGTCAGATACACAACGTATACATTTGTATAGTTTGATTCGGTCAGTAAACACTCCTACCAATACATATAGCCGAGCATAGCACAAGCGACGTTCACATGTGTATCCTAGAGCAAACAATCATTCAGAAGCCCATGATATATATATATATATAAATATATATATATATATATATATATATATATATATATATATATATAATAATAATATAATATATTATTATATATATATATATATTGTAGTTCTCTCCTACTAGACTAACTAAACCTAACTACCTACCTTACTTACGTTACGTACCGTACGTACGTAACGGTAACGTAAAC